ATGTACGAATGAATCACTGTGTGCAAGGAGTGGATAGGACGGGCTAAATGTTAGATGACTCTCCCTGCACAAGTCTTAACTCTTTGAAGAAACAGTTTATTCGTCCGTTTGTTCGCTCAGTGACTGGGTTTCTTATGCAGTTTCATGATCTCAATTAGCAAATACAAAAGGTAACACAACAACACGGTAGTAAGAAATATAAAGACGTTTACTGAATATGTTACAAAATAATATGTAAACAAAAATACACATCTTGCAGTTTCTAACATGTTCACGCAAAAACACCAACTAAATGATAAAAGAAAAAAACTAAAGTCTGTCATACTTCAACAGTACGTTGTATTACCCAACACGTTTTACGAAATCCTAGAAACGTACAGTATACGAAGCACAGTATTGCAGTTATTTTATAAACGGTAGTTAGTTATTCGTTAAGGTTCCAGCATCACGGCAAACGAGCTTGGCCCATAATTGCTCAACCGCCTATGCCAGTGATTCCAGTAACAAACTGAGTGAGATACCCTGGATACTTCAAGTAAATGCCGTAGTTATACAAAGTGTCCTCAGCAAAACACATGCGATTTGATCTGACAAACCATATGGTGCATTCCTCCTTAAACACACTGCTAAAAATTAACTTCATTCGACGAACAGCTTGGCGGTGAGTAGATTAAAACTATTCCTGACAATTCTCCACATGTCCTCGGCCAAGTTGCAGCCACGGCCAGCAAATAAATAGTGGCTCTAGCACACGCCTTGTCCCAAAAACACAACGAAGAAAAATACATCACCAATAATTGCCATTATGTACGAATCTAGAACTCAGTCAATAACCGATAATCACAGCTCTTAGTGCCACTGGAAGCACTAAACTCAGTAGCTTCGGCTGCAAACGTGTAGACAGGCATTCTAGACGAAACAAAGGCATTAAGAAAACTCATATAATTAAATTTGGTCGAGAATCGACATCACAGCATTAGGAACATTCCCATCTGTGCTGTGTCGTCAGCTTCAACAGCCAACAAAGAGTTCCCATGTCTATGGTGCCAGAAGCAATTAGTGACTAAGTGTCCTTCTTGTCTTTCCTCTGATTGCCAAGTGTCGGCCAGATCTTCTGGTCCCACAGCAAAATTCTCACCACACACAACGATCAGTTCACGCTTCATCAGTTTCACTTGGTTACACAGGCTTTGTCCACATTTAGCTTGTAATGCATCAGTTTACAACTCAGCAGTGCAGAACCTGCCAATCTGTCTCTCTGTTCGTTTCCCATCATGCCTGCATCTCCATGAGAACATTTTCAAAGGACACTACAGGGACCAAAGAAGTCATGCTTGCCACTCTGCCTGCTCAGAGCATGCCCTTCTTCACCACTCTCGGCCTGCTTTGTGAGTATGTTCCACTTACACACACTAGCATTCTTTGGGAGCTGCAAATAAGTAAGTAAAGTCAAGATCCCTTTTCACGCCTTTCGGCGCATCGGGAATATGGGCAGAGCGTCCCATATTTTTACAGACCATCAGCACTCTGTGGGTAATGTGGTCAGTATTACGCCGGCTGTCTTTACTTTCCCAGGACAGCCCATCCTGGTACCCATTTTAGGCTGGGTCGACCTGCGACGTCCCATACCACGATAAAATTCCACGCAGCCTGCAGTGGGTTTCGATCGCGGTATGCTGGCTCACGAGTCGGACTCGCAACGCCTTAGCCACGGACGCCGCGAGCTGCAAATGAGTACAAAAAAAATGATAAAAACAACAACAAAGTGAACACAGCGATGAGCATGTCTTGAAAGTACAAGTCAGGGGGATCTGTCACCATGAGGGTCCCTGCCAGTTTGGTGGTGGAGGTGAGCTCCACTTCCTAAACAGTTGGGAAAGGAACTTTGTGATTTCCCTCAATCATGTATAGAACCATCTCCCAGACAATGTGGAAAGGGAATTTGCGATTTCCCTCAATCATATATAGAGCCATTTCCTATACAATTTAGAAAGGAAATTTGTGATTTCCCTCAATCATATATATAGAGCCATTTCCTATACAATTTAGAAAGGAAATTTGCGATTTCCCTCAATCATATATAGAGCCATTTCCTATACAATTTAGAAAGGAAATTTGTGATTTCCCATAGTAATGTATAGAACTATCTAATATACAATTTAGAAAGGAATTTTGTGATTTCCCTCAATCATGTATAGAACCATCTAATAGACAATCTAGAAAGGAACTTTGAGATTTCCATCAATCACGTATAGAACCATCTCCAAGACAGTTTAGAAAGGAACTTTGTGATTTCCCTCAATCATGTATAGAACCATCTCCCAGACAATTTAGAAAAGAAATTAGCGATTTCCCTCAAACTTGCATAGTTTTCTGTTTTTAAATATTTGTTCAGGCATTTCACATTTACCCAAGATTTTGTTACATTTATTTGCACTTCAGCACACACAGATCCTAACCATAGTAGTCATACAAGTAAAAGCCCTTTGAGGATCCTGAACCCAAGAAAATTATAGAGGGGCTGGGCCCCTGCCAATATTTATGCGGCTTACCGTGTCCATGATTTACTTCCGTGCAACAGGAGAACATTATTTTAGTGCGTTTCAAAATTGGCGCCCAATGTTTTAAATCTGTAATCGTTCGGTGTCAATTGTTGACATTTGGTTTGCAACTTGTGCACATTTGAATTAGTTTCCAAAATTATCTTTCTGCTTGCGGTTTAAAGAAAACCATTTGCATTAGTTATTGTATATTATATTTTTTAAGGGTACATTTACTTGACAGAGACCACAGAGCTTCGCCACTTTAAGAAAACAGCAGCACCTGTGCCATTATACATTATGAAATCTTTAGGACATGACAAATCTAAGACAACATGCCAAAATTCATGCTGATCCTTACAGGAGTGTGTGTGTGTGTGTATATATGTTAGGGCTGTACCGAATATTCGCTTCGTATTCGATTCGGGGCCGAATAGTGGATCTATTAACTGTTCGGTATTCGGCCGAATAGTTGCGGTCGGGCCGAATACGAATAGTAGTTACCTTACACCCGCTTCTGCATACACGGCCTTAATGCTGAGAACATGGAATGATTGGTTGTGTTGAAAGCTAATGCAGCTTTCATGCATTAACTAAGCTGTCAGTGACAATTTCAAAGTTTAGTTATTTGTTATAAATCTTAGGATTCTTTTATTCTTAGTTATTAGTTACCAAAGACTGACTAAAGGATGCAAAACATAAAATGTTTTTACATTTTTACTATTCTGTACGAATACTAACTAGACATGGACAGAATATGAACTCCGGCCACATACACATCGATAATATGAAAATCAAACGAACGGAAACATATAAGTACTTGGGTGAAAACTTCAACTGCTCGAACATGCTGAGAGAAGAAATACAATCTAGAATACAATCTGTAAATAAAGTATACTTTGCCCTTCAACATCTGTTAAAGTCAAAGTGACTGTCTCGCAACACCAAGATCAAAATATATAAAACGTTGATTAGATCAGTCGTTTTATATGGCTCTGAAACTTGAAGCACCACTAAGAGAGATGAAGCCTTATTACAGGTTTTCGAAAACAGGGTCTTACGACTCATCTTTGGACTCATCAAAGATGCAGACAGTGGGGAACAGAGAGTGAGAAGCAACAACGAAATGCATAATCTATTTAAATCACCACTGATCACTGGCATCATGAGAGCTAACAGACTAAAATGGTTGGGGCAGATTGAAAGAATGTCAGAGGACAGAGAAGTAAAACTGTATACACAAGTGAGATTAATAGTCGTAGATCACGAGACAGACAAAAAAGAAGATCCAGAGATAATATCCAGCCAGACCTGCAAACAAATGGTGTCATAAACTGTGAAGAGAAGGCCAGCCAGAGAGATGAATTGAGACGAGTGATATCTGCAGCAGTAACTCTCAAGGACTCAGAATGCTAAAGAAGAAGATGAGTATTCTGTTCTACTTTATGAGAAGTAAAAGTTCAGCGTACATTTGATATTATGAATGTGTGTGTGTGTGTGTGTGTTTGTTTTTTCCACACACCATACACTATTCGTATTCGTATTAGGCCGAATAGATGGTCCCGTTATTTGTATTCGGTCGAATAGTGAAAATCACTATTCGGTAAGCCCTTATATATATATATATATATATATATATATATATATATATATATATATATATATATATATATATAAGTTTGAAAGCACGACTTTTCAGACGCACTATACAGTGAGTGCCGAAGCCTAGGACAGTGAGGAGTTCTAATCTAACCTGGCACTGCCATATGTTGTCTCTTCACAGCTCATTGTCCGGGCAGTACCAATATTATCATCATTTTCCTTACAGATACGCGCAGAGAGTCATGTTTCGCCAAATAACACAATCACCGAGGAGCACTTCAAAGTACATGACTCCATATTCCTGTCTAGACTGATGGACATGGGGGTACAGCCTGGAGCTGCATAACTGAACATTTCACTAAGATGACAAGACGTATCATTAACCAACACAGAAAGGGCGTCATCAGTCGTTTTACACTTGTGGAGCTTTTGAGGAGGAGCACCGATGGATCTGTCCGGAGTGCTGTGATGATAATCCTTTCTTATCACTTATCACTAATCACACAATCACCAGAATCTCGGATCAAGTCAGTGCTCTTTTCTTGTCATAAGACTTTCCAGTCATCACAAAGTTCTCGAGCCATTGATTCTCATACCATGACTACAAAATAGCGACAGTCCAGTTTTAATTTATGTAATTAATTTACTGGTTTCATCTTGAGAGAAGCGCAACCTCTTTTGTTTTTCTATCATTCATGACATTCTGAGCATGCGGCTCTATTACATCTGCACTCCAAGTAGTCTCTTTTGGCTTGTCTGTTTCACATTCACACAATAACACACATTCTATACATATCCGTTTAATATTCCGTTTCTGACCGCAGTTAACACTTTTGTAATTTGCGACAAAAAATTGAATCAATTGTTAAAGAAACGAACAGACAGAAGCACAAACAAAGCTCCCCATATATAAACTGCACTTAATCCAAGCACAGAGGCGTTACCATGAGGTGTTGTAGTTTCTCTTACTGTCGTTGTTGCTATTTGACATTCGGTAAGGAGGTATTGAGAAATAGTGAAACCGTTGCTGCAGTATCCTTGAATATTTGTCACACTCTGAACCCAATTGACAAGTTTAACGGGCTTAGGGCATGGACAGATCATTGATTCGATGGCAGACAGACTCACAGTTCCCCCCAAATCGCCACGAATATTTGACAGGTCTCCTATCGCGGTGGGGATTTCTGTCAAGTCTGTGTTATCCAGGTAAAGTTTGGTCAGAGATTTGAGGTCAAAGAAGGCCAGGTCTGGGATGCTTAAGATTGGGTTGTGGTCTAAACGTAATTCCACCAATCGTGTTAGGTTCTGGAACGTTGTGTTTGAAATAGAACTGAGGTTGTTGTTACTCAAGTACAGGTGAACGAGACCGGGGTTAAAGTTATCTGGGACAATCTCACTGATTTTGTTGAAGCTCAGATCCAGGTCTCTCAGATTCAGAGGTAAACTGGAAGTGTTGATTCGTGTTAGCTGGTTGTGGTTCAAATGTAGGTATCTCAACGTTGTCGGAAAAGGTTGTGACTGAATCTCTGTTATTTGGTTAAATTCTAAACCTAGGTCTGATAAACTGGACGGCAAATCAGAAGGGGTAATGTTTGTGATCTTGTTGTAACTCACACGTAGCGTTTGCAAGCTGGTGGGGAAAGTGCCGGGTTCAATTTTCGATATGTTATTGTTTGTCAGATCTAAAGTAGAAAGCCCAGAGATCTTAGCAACGCAAGTGGGGACTAAAGACAGACTGTTGGAAACAAGGTACAGTTCAGTTACCGATGGAGGCAATGAGCCTACACTAGGATCAGATATGTTGTTGTTGTTTAAATAGATTTTATCCAGACTCGTTAGACTTAAGAAGTTTGCTATTCTAGTTAACCCAGCCAAATTGATTGTCAGTTTGTAAAGTTTTGACCCAGATGGGAAGACTGAATCAAATACAAACTCATCAACAAATCGGTTCCCACTGAGGTCAAGAAACATCAGAGCGGATAAATACGACAGGGCCTTCGGGACGCGGGTCAGACCAGTACTGACCAGACTAAGATCTCGCAGTACATCTTTGCAGGCGATCAAAGCGCTGTCGGGGACAACTGTCAAAGAGTTCTGGTCCAAGTAGAGTTCAGTCAACAAACTAAAGTTAGACAACCCACTGGGCCAGGCAGGCAAACTAACGTTTGTTAATGTAAGAGATCTCAGGGTGGCACCAATATGCTGAAGCACATCATCTGGCAGTGTCCCTAAGGGAGTGTCGTCTATTTTCAGACTGGACAGATTGGTCAGCTTGATCAGTGCTAATGGTAACTGTCTTAAATTGGCACTTGAGATGACTATTTCTTGCAATGATATGGCTGAGTTGATAAACACATCCTCTCTTATCTCTGTGATTGGGTTGTTAATAAACGTAACAGTGCGAAGACCAGCTGGGAGACTCCCATTAGGTATGCTCTTTAAGCTTCCTTCCTAAAAAAAAAAAAAAGAGAAAACATAAACATGACATCTTTGGACTTCCATACTAGCCTCTACTTCTCAGCAAACTCACATTTTCACTTTATCTATATTAAATATCAAACAGTAGTTTTGGCTACATATTGGCAACTTTAACCTCTTCTTATTATAGTGAAAAAACTGAAAATGCAAGGATATGTACGAAGATCTAACGGCCTCTCAAAAACAGTGCCACAGGGCTCAGTAGAAGCGAAGTGGCAGACCAAGAAAGACCTTGATACAGAACTTGCCTGACCGGAAAAGCCTTAGGCTTGTAACCATAAAGTCGTTGGCATCTGATGTCTAACATGGCCCTGAGCTGATCAGTCAACAGCACGTGGTGACTCAACGACACGTGGTGTTATAGGCAATGATGAAGATGGGATCTAGGCTGGAGTATTTAAGTTAGGTATCAAGCACACCTTATCATATCAGTAGAGTGTCACCCCTTGTTGCTGCTGTAGCAAGTTAGATCAGTCGACTTACTTAACGAACAGAGTGACAAGTTAACGGCTGGTTCATCGGACAGGTGTTAGTCTTTGGCATTTGGTAGAGAGACACTGGCAGACATTTATCGGAAATTTTGGCTTTGAAGGATAAGAAGCTCTTTTCCACTAGGAACTCGGACCCGTCTACCAACGCCCATCCCCCACGAGATTCCGTTGCGTCCAGGGTCAGCTTGAAGCTCTTTCAGCAGCTTCGCCCAGTTGTATTAGTGACTATTTACGCTCGTTTCCTCTCAAGCCCAGCTGCTTTAGCACATTGTATGTGGAAGGGAAGACAAAACCTCTTGCGCCTACATTGATGGCGAAATGTTTTACTGCGTACGCTTCGTCTTTCCTCAGTCCGGCCGCGAGCTTTCTGTACTTTTCGAGCTTCTACA